ACAGACTGTTGACACATATAGATCCCACACCTGGATGAGCTGGCACGGGAGAGGCTTCACCAGGTATTTTCTGTATGAGTGTCTCCAAAGCACGGATCGTTTTAAGTGGACAGCTTTTAATGTCAGGAAGGTGAAACATAGTTCAGAACAAAAGAGGTGGAGCTCTGCTAGAGCATGGAACCGGATTATTAGAGCGCTGAGTGCTGTACTGGAAGTGAGTCAGCATGCTGATTCTAAAACATACTTGCTGTGTGAGTGGTGATTAATGGCTCTGCCATCAGAGGTTGAACCCGCTGGAGTGGTGTAAAAACAAAGAGCTGCAGGCATGGTTATCAGGTTACCAAGGTGACCAACCCAGCACAATATTCTTCTTTTTTTTTTTCATTTATTTGGTTTGTAAAGTAGGAGAAAATAGGCTACTGCAAATAAACTGCTTTGTACTTTGTGGCCACTTGTTAAATCATCATAAACACTTATGGACTCTTAGACTGAGACATGAGACAATAATTCAACATGTGTTCTGCATTATTTCATGTGACATACATAAAGCCAGCAGGAACTTAAAGCACAGAGGTCATTAGCAATAATAATGCTGACTTATCTAAGTGAGGTAAACCCCCATGTGGTTCTTTTACCATTACATTTCCAAGAAAACCGACTCCTCAGTGTTTCATGGCATTGTTGGTATGGTCCAAAGTTGCAAATTAGTCACACTGGAGACCTAAACTTGCTACACGTATGAGTGTCAGAGTATCCGGCATGCTGTTGGTAGCATTCCCCTTTTTACTGAAATGCTAATAAAATCAAAATGAAAGCAGTTTTAGGCAAAAACAGCAGAAAATACAAATCATAAACAAGGTGTGCTGTAAGCCTGGGTTATACTTCCTCTGTGGTTTTTACCATAAACTGAACGGATGCTTGGTTTTTCTGATTTATCAGAGAATATGGAGTTTTCACCAAACATCCTGACAGCACCTCATGATTCACTCCTTGCAGTGGAGATGAGACAAATTACTATCACAACACTTTTTGTGACTTGAAAGTTTTGTTCTTCTCTTCTTCTTCTTTGTCATCTTCTTCTTCTTATCATTATTTGTTTCCCACGATCTTATTAAAAAGATAATAAAAAGATTTACTTTGTTCGTTATTCCTTCATTTGTTCAGTGAGCTAGGCGCATTATTTTGATTTCAATTTCATCACTGACATGAAAATGATAAACCACACCACCTTTGTCACGTACACTTATTTTTGCAAGTAATAATAGTAATAATAATATTTTTGTATCTGACGCAGTTCTCACTTTTGCAATGCGAAACATCCGCACACATGCATGCCGTCACCGTTGTGACATCGTGTTGTTGTGATACTAAACCAGATGTCTGACTGGAGAAACTGCACGTTCACATGGAGGCAGCATTGGTCATTAAACACGTCCTACATTATCATGTATTTGACTCTAAATGGCAGACATGATAAACTTTTGTGAAATACTAAACTTCTCAGACTTTGATCAAATCTAAACTGGCCCTCGCTGACCATGAGAAAGAATCCAGTTTTAAAGCATTTCTTCACTGGCTTCCCTTTCTGACCCAGTAGCTATGACCGTGTGTCACATATCATTGGTTGGCTGTTGTGCTTGTGCTTATTCACCACAAGGATGGAAGTCTTAAGAGTGTGTATCACAAGTTTACCATGAAAAATTCAAAGAGGAACGTAAAAATGAATAAGCAGTTTGAATGAAATCTACCTGAAGTGATGAAAAACGTAACTGATTGTTGCAGCTTTCTATAATCACAGCATGCAGCTATTATAGCAATTCTCCGAGGCTGTTTCCCCGTGGAGCACGACAAAGACACGGGAAGCGCTGTGACGTATAGCCTCACGACTGTGAACCTCATCCACAGAAACGCTGGCAAATGCGTGTGTCAATAACTATCTAGAGTGGCTTCCACGGTGACAAGGTAATTGGGTTTGTGGGAACGTCGGCTTTGAGCTCAGCTGCTTTGACAAACGCCGCAGGCTTGTGTGCTTATTGATCTATGAAGAGCAGCGAATGTGCCTAAGCAGATGATCTCGTGTCAGTCTGCACGTCGAGCAGCAGTTTGTAGATAACACAACAGCTGATTCCTTTTTACCCATGTGACACGGTATACTAGTAAAACTGCCCAGTGCAAGGTTAAAAAAAATGTCACCAGCAATCAGGACAATGACAGAGATTCAGAGAAAGCCTGCTTTCTTCCTCTGTTTGCTTGTGCACTCACAGCATGACTCAGTAGAACTAAACTGCAGTTAAATTCTTGCTTTCCAGGGAATTAATACTGATCACTAGTTTAGCTACCTGAAACTCATTATCAGTCTTTACTAATCCACCGTTTGGCCTCTAATGATTCAGAAAAAAGTAAAAACACCACCAAAGGCTCAGAGATTTGAAGACAAAAAAGCACCAATGTTCACATTTGAGAAGCTGGTATCAGTTATTATTTATCAGTTATTATCTTCAAATGAATACACAGAATATGTGAGCAGGGGATAAGATTTTATCAATGGGGATCTTACAAATTTCCATATCATTTAGTACTCTGAGTAGTGTATACCTAGTATGTCTGGCCTTTGGCTGCATGCAGGTCTGTGCAGGGAGTAATCTTGAAACCACTAACTCTTGTCTGATTTTATCTACATTCGTATTTGGACTGTAAAAGATCAGTGCTCTGTGGAGTCTTGCCCCAGATATCTGTTATCTGGACACCCGCAGGCCACCCCAGAAACCCTGATACATTAGAAGTTACCCCAAGAGGCTAACTTATCAGACCACATCTGATGAATTCCCTGATTGTTAGCTTTTTTCCTTTGGGATCCCTCAGAAGAATTCCCACTAAATACAGTCTCACAGAGGTTGGTTTCCAGCTCTTTCCATGTATTATTTTTTTATTAAAATGTAAATCGGTAAACAGACATTGACGTCACATGAGAAAGAAAATCCTACTGCACCCACATATGACATAAAAGAAACGTAAGAAGAAGAATAATGCACCTGCATCTTATCTCTTACCCATGTTGCATCTCATCTGAACAAAGCTGCTTTGGTTGTTTACCTGCAGCACCAGATTGAACCCTTGTGACATGAAAACACATGAGGGCCATGTCACCGGCCACGGTAAGGGCTTAGAAAAGATGGCAGGTGCACAAAACTAGTTATCATCTCTGGAGGAGACGCTGATCTTAAATACCTGAAATGAGGCAATTTAAAGACAACAACCTCAAATGCCACAACAAATAGTCCCCAGAAAACAGCAGTCAGACGCTGGCATTGTGGAAAAAATGTTTGTGTGTGTGTAGTGAGAGTTAGTGTGTGCCTTACACTGACACAGAGAGCACAACAGTTACACAGTGTCTTCTGTCACAGGTCAGTGAAAGACAAGCTGCATACAGATGGATATGGAGAACGTGTGTGCCTGGTATTTATTGGGAGCGTTTGACTCCTCCTGAGCGTGTAAAGAGCTCTGTTGCCCCCTGCTGGGGAAATGGTGTGACTGAATTCAAAACAGAACTAGTTGAGGGCAAAGCACATCTGCACAGTTCACTTCAGAATATCTCAAATCTGTGGAGAAGGCTTGTCACACTGTATAAGGTGCATGTGAGGACATGAAAGCTTTTTAGGTGATGGCAAAAAGCTGTGGATTCAGGCGAGTTATCTCCTCCTGCTGTGAAAGGACGAGCAGCTCCACTCACCTTTTCCAACTGTCAGTATTCATTCGTTCATTCTAAAGTTATCAATTTCAGCTCATCTAAAAAAAAAAACACTCATCACATATTTTTTTCATTTCATCAGGTTTGACTCCCCTTTGCTTCAGAACTGCCTTCATTCTTCATCACATAAATCCAACAAGTTCCTGGAAACATTCCTCAGACTTTGGTTTATATTGATATGACAGCATCACACAGCTGATCCACAGATTAGTCAGCTCCACCACACCTGTGACATGAATCTCCTGTGACTGTGGAGACCGCCTTGAACTCCAGGCCGCCATCAGGAGATGGGTACAGTGTGGTCATAAAAGGATGGACATGGTCAGCAACATTACTCAGGGAGGCTTTGGTGTTTAAATAACGCTCATTTTGTACTAAGAAAATAAGAAAAGATCATTACACCCACACAAACAGCCTGAATCACTGGTATGAGGCAGGATGGAGCCACACTTCCATGTTGTTTACATCAAATTCTGTCCCTACCATCCAAATGTGGCAACAAAAATTAAGATTCATCAGACCGGGCAATAATTTTAGTATCTTCTGTTGTCTGACTTTGGTGAGCCTTTGTGCTCTGCTGCTGCTAGCTGCTCTTCTGCATGCCATACCTCAGTTGTATGAGAGGTAATTTGAGTTAATGCTTTCTGTTTATTTAAATTAATATCTGCTGGGACATCATAAGTTGTTGTTGTTGTTTTTTGTTTTGTTTTTTACAAAAAACGAAACAGGTCGGTCTAATTTATTCAGCAAATATTGTTGTTTTTCACCCAAGAATGTTTGTCTCTATGTGGCAAAATTTGAATTCCTGAATTCTGAAACTGCATAGTGAGAATTTTTATGTATTTTTACTTACTTACTTTGTCTAATCTATGTCCACATGGAAAATCATATATGTACATTTAACCCAAAAAAATATCCAGCTGGTCTCCTTAATAATCATGCTCTTTATAAGGGTAAGAGTTAACTGATAAATAAATATCAACAGTGTGTCACCAGACGGTTAAAGGCATGTGTCGGGTTATTGATTGATTGATTGATTTTTCTGTAGGTGTTTGAGCTTCTCTGAAAATGCTGGCGACATGAATTGTCACTCTGAGGAGGCCACACAGCCCTGGATAATCTCGAATCCACTAAACTGTCTTCAGGGTTTTGTTTGTTCCCTGTGATGCCGCTAGATGTCACACAACCAAACACCAGCAGCAGCTGCTGATATAACCTACACACCACTGAGTATTTCTCCATCTATTAGGTGTCATGCATCCCGTTTAATAGCTAGTACACGTGCAGACAGTGAGTCATTAATTAATTCTGAGGGAACTTGAAGAAGAAAACGATCCAGTGTTGAGATCCGTGCGTCACCGGGTCCCCGGCGGTGGCGACGCGTACTGCTCCTCAGTCGTGCTTCGCTTCAACCCGGCTTTAAAAAAAAAACGGGCCAGTGAGACCGCTCACCGATCGCCGATTAACACATTAATTGAGCCCATCAACCAATCGTTCGGTCGCGACCGTGGCGCCTCGCCCACGGCATGACCTCCGGAGTGACGCGTCTCTCCGATGAGAGGGCGGAGGGAAGAGCGCCGGAGGAGATGCGCATATCTGCAGGTCTCTAGCGCTGTCGTAAAACAAGTGTCGGGAGCAAGTGAGCTAAAATTAAAGCGATGCCAGGAGTAACCAAGTACAATTTAGTGGATGACGCGCAAGATTTGAGGATCCCCATGCACAACGAGGAGGTGTTTAAGCATGGGGTGTGCTTCGAGGCAAAGGTAAGAAGCCTCTGCAACAGATTGTACTTTCTGGGCAGCATTTCAGGCTTGAAGACCAGCGAGTCCTAATATGCTAAACACTGTTATGTGGGCTTCTTGGGTTTCAGATGTCGTCTTATTTTTCTTTTTTCTTTTTTTTCTTGCATAATTGTGTGTGTTAGTTTATTGTTGCGTCTTCTGATCATGCAATAATTTTATATTTTATATTAAATTTCCCTTTATGACTTTATCATTTTTTAAAATTCATTTTCATAATCTTGTTTCAAGGATAATACAAAGTTTTGGTTTAGTGCAGATGAATGAGACTGACTGCACTGTGGGAATTATGAACAGTTCTTTAAGTTTTACTGTTTTGTCTCTGGTCTGCACTAATAACATCTGTAAAAAAATCCACATAGTTTGTTTGGATGTGTTGTCCTCTTTGACCAACACTTATATAGCCAAATTCATAATTTTATGTAATGTAAGACAGATTAAAAACTGCAAATTGCCAAATCTGAGAAGGTAGAATCGTCTATATTTGATATTTGCTTGAAAAAATAATGTGCAGTGTAATTACAATTTTATACGTAGTTGTCTGCTTATCCAAAACTGTAAAAAAAAAATCTGCTGACACAATCTAAAGAGGAGACAGTGTGTCATCCCAGCACTCCCCAAGTATTCACTTCCTTAACAATCCCGTCTTTAAACATTTCTCTTATGTTTTGCAGTACATAGGCAGTTTGGAGGTGGGCCGCCCCGGGAGTCGAATGGAGATAGTTGCAGCAATGAGGAGAATCAGAGTAAGATTTCCCTGAAGCACACACACTTTGCCTCTTTGACAAAACCCACTTTGAAACACTGGTGACGTTCGCTGCACGTCTTTGTGCACGTTCCTCACAAGTTCCTTTCTCTGTGCTCGGCGTCCCCTCTTTACACATAAATGACCTGTCTGTGTAAAACTACACAGTGGGCAGATTCAGTGGGCCGTCAGGAGGAGTTTAAATCAGGGCAGGATTCATAGGGCAGCTTGGATTTTCTGGCTGAGGAGAGACACGGCGCACAGGGATATGTTTGATGCCATCAGGGGGAAAAAAACAACATCCTTCAAGCCTCCTTTTGTTACGATCATGCAAGGCCGCTGGAAACAACACGCGGCCTTGTCATTAAACATCACTGCAGTGTGACAGAGACACTCGGGGAGGAAAGGATTTAGCTGCTTGTCAGCTGTTGCATCTAATCTAACAACCAAGTTTATGGTGTCACTCGGAGATCGGCCGCCTCCCCAGTGACACCCAAGGAAAGACTTAATCCTGATCCAGCATCCCATACAGTGGGCGATGCTGGACATTTGATCACACTGGCAAAGATGTAGGGATGCTGTGTGTGTTTGGATTCCCCTTGTATTTTCAGGCATCCCAGTAGTGTGTGTGTGTGTGTGTGTGTGTGTTTGCACATTTTTAGAAAGTAGATTCTAAACTTGCTTTTATGCATTTTGGAGAAAATGACAGACACGTTCAACAGAGCAGCTCAAATGGAGAAAGAAGAGAGAGAAACCCACACAATGCACAAAGCAATCCAACCGCTGAAGGCTTTTCTCCTGCATTTTAGCTTTTATTTATCTGTGCTTAAGCAGACAATGTTAATTTACTACAAAGCTCCTATCTAAAAGACTGTGAAATGCTTTGCTCTAAGTCTTTGAAACAAACTGATAATAAGAAGGCAAACGAGGCAAAAAGAGACAAATGATGAAAATACAATAAAACTGGAAAAAAAAAAGATTGTAAATGTGTGTGGGATTAAGATGGATAACATAAAAGCAGGTTTGTAAAATGCTCGGGCTGTTTTTGAACTCTGTTATCACACAGTAATTAATAGTCTCTGCTTCTGGGGGAGACAGACTGTGAATATTCAAAAGCTAACTTGTAAAGCACTCGCAGTGGCTCAGGGGGTAAGACGAGAGGTGAGCTTCCACAACCTGTAGCATTATTTTGTTCGGGGGCGGTTTCAGTGTGAATTAGTTTCAGGCTCATGTGCGTGAAAACGTGGCGCGAACGCTTCATCTCCCTCTGACAGCAGCGTGTGCGGAGATGGATGGTCCTGGTTTATGCAGAGCTGCATTAGCCTGGATTGCACACACACACACACCACAGAGATCAATGTCCTTCACCTGAGCACCTGCATCCAGCCTGCATGTGGGGAAAAAACTCACACAGCAACAACCAGATGCATTAACGGGACAAGACCAGATGACAAGGACACAGGTCGCAGGCTCGCATGGTCAAACCTCTCTGGACTAAAATCAGCTCCGCCTCCAGTTTCTGATGAAACTAAGAGAAAGCTCTGTGTTCTCATATTTACACAAACCAAAGGAAACTTGACAGAGAATATCCAAGCCTGCTGCACACGCTGGGCAACTGTGTGTGTGCTGGAGAGTGATTTCATCAAACCTTATCTGATCAATTAATAATCTGATGTTGGACTTTGTGTTTTCAAAGCCAAACATGTTATTTCATACAAATCTTTCTGTTTTTTGTTTTTTACCCTACATCCTATGACTGTAAGATTTGGAGGACACACTGTTAATCAAGCAGAGGGATGAAAGCGTCCCACACATGTCCGCCTCCCTCTGGGAAGTCAGCCTTTGAAAACTTAAAAAGCTCCCAGAAAGAGAAACTGACAGTTTCTCGATGTTTACGCCATCCCAGTTTTCCTCCGGGGAAGAAGACAGTGAAAAAAGATAGCTCCTGTCTGTGTGATCCCTCCGCTTCATCGAGCTCCATCTCTGCAGGACCATAAATATATTTAATGCGAGTCAGACCGGGTAGTACTGTAATCAGTTTGCTTTGATTCAACTTTTGGATTTGTTGTTTATTCTATCTATTCTTCCTTCACAGTATGAATTCAAGTTGAAGAACATAAAGAAAAAGAAGGTCAACATTGTCGTATCTACTGACTTCGTCAAAGTGATTTTGCGCAAAAAGAGGAAGGTCGGTCTTGCACAACCACATATGATTTTTCCATTTACTTGTTTTCGCACCTTGAATGACATCTTTGTTTTAAGTCACAGTTGTCAGCGTGAACCTGTGTGATTTTTGTCTTGCAACAGAGAAAAGGGTGGTCGTGGGACGACAACACCATCTTGGTGACACAGGATCCTATCCACAGGTGGGCCCTCTCGACTGTAACAACGTGTACATGTCGCTCTGCTGGAATATGTTTACATGCATCCAAAACACAACCTCCCTGTCAGGCTGTGCAACGAAAAGCTTCATTTTAGTACCCATCTCTCGAAAAGTCCAGACGTCTCATTCCTCATTTGATGTGACAAAAGCTAAGAAATGCAGGCTCATATTTTAAGAGCTGCCATCATAAAACTTTGGTGAAAATGAAGTCTGCGTGTGGCTTTTAACTTTTCTCTCAGTGATCATTTTACTTGTCAGATCCTAAATCAGCATAAGCGATTTAACTTTATGTGATTTTTGATAGGGTTAAAAAATAAATCAGGTCATTAGCAGGGCAGAGCAGCTGGTTCATACATATCTCAGGTTTATGTGGAAACTTTAAAGTTAAACTACAGTAAGCGGTGTAGCGCTTCATACATTTGCTTGCATATGAAAAATTCTCTGTTCAAGACCAGGAGGAAACACAAGGTGTCGCGGATAAATAAAACAAAATAAAAGTAGTACCGGTACCGAAAAAAATAAGATTTATTCATAACACACGTGAAAAGACCCAGGAAAACCAAGTTAACAATAAAAACGATAACAAAATAACGCTGAAAACCGATAAAAACCCTGAAAACCATACATTTCACACCTGAGCCTCAACTCTCGCGGCCCGGTACCAAACGACTCACGGACCAGTACCGGTCTGAGGCCCGGGGGTTGGGGACCGCTGCTCTATGTGACCCATATCAGATCATGGTATGACAGTGTGAACGGCACAAATCCGATATTTTCAAATCCAATCTGGGTCACTTTCATATGTGGTACTGAATCCGATACATATCCGATGTTTTTGAAAGCGACTGCTGTTTGAACAGTCATGCCACATTAAATCCGTCTTTTACGTCACTGACACAAGACAGTGCGACGTCTTCTTTTGCGCATGCGGGCCGCTTTGAGCATTCACACAAGAGCGCGTTTGCTGTCGCATTTTATTTGTAGTGTGAACGAGCAGACAAAAAAATTGGATTTGATCAAAAAATCTGAATTAAGCATTAAGACCTGCAGTGTGAACGTAGCCATAGTGACCTAAATAAGTCCCAGAAGAAAGGCCTGGATTACAAAACAAGGTCTTGGAGGCTGTTTAGTGGCAGCGTTTTCTACTGAGGAAAAAAAGCTACATAGCAGGGAGAAAAATGAGCACTTTACATTAAAAACCATCTCAATCAAACACCCAATTTACAAAAAAATTGACATGTTTTCTTGCCTCAACAGGATCTTTTACGTCTCACATGATGCTCAAGACTTAAAGATATTCAGTTATATAGCCAGAGACGGACAGAGCAACATTTTCCGCTGCAACGTGTTTAAGTCTAAGAGAAAGGTAAGCCTCACTGCTCACAGATCCCAAAACTACTGCAAACATAAATGACACATTACCTTTCATTACAATTTAGCCCTCTCCTCTCCTCTCTGGAGATAATGGTAATGTTAGCGACATTAACCAGGCATCTTAATATTTCTACTCCTGTTAACAGACGTTACTTTCAAAAATGACAATTAGCCACCGAGTCTCCATTTCCTTCATTTTCCTCACAAATGCACAAAAAGGGTTAGTTTGCATTATTTAAAGGCTGCTTTCAGAATATCTTCACCAGTTCACCTTGTTAGCAAATAGCTCTCTATGCTAACAATTTGGTCATTTTAGGAGGCTCCTAAACTCTCTGGCTCACAGTCTGATGAGGGCAAAGATACCATTTACCTGAAGATAGAGCTTCACAGAAATAAGGGAAGCAGCAAGCCAAACTCTATTCAGTGGAAACAGAATTAACCCTGCCAGGATCTCTGAAGCTCGCTAATTGGCGTGCTGTTTGTTTACTCCAGAGATAAATGAAATGTTAACTTGACAGCTGCCGTTCGTTTGGACTTTTTTTTTTTTTTGGCTGTTCGGCTTGCTCGTCTTGTGGGCGCTGTGACGTCACGCGCTGAGTTTTGTGCTGATTAAACAAGATACAAACAGAATGTGTTAATCAGAGCACTGCTCAGAGGCTTGTAGGGTTTTTTTCCCCCTTTTTGTTAGAGGCAACATGTCGACTCTCTTTTTCCCAGTCTTCAATCTCTGTGAAAGGCTAAGTTGACGTGAAAAAAACTGGATGGTTCTGTCCGTCTTCCCATCTAAAACCACCTCTGAGCGAATGACTGAAAGTATATTTTCCAGTGTTTTACTGTTTTAGCGATTCAGAAATAGACAAACATCTTTTGCAGATTTTTTTTCTTTTTTAACATCAACAAAAGCACATTTATTTGCATTTCCAGTTCAGCTTCTGAAGCATCTGTTAATAGCGTTCATGTCTGTAATCTCAGGGATGTATAGCCATAGCGCGCACTTCTAGAATCAGACCCCAATGGCTGTGCTAGTAAATAACTTATGAAAAATGAGAGGCGTGTTCTTCTCCACATATCTGCATATCAAGCAGTGTCAATTTTTCCTCCACGACAAAGACTGAGCATCACTGAGGTTGACTCCCATCCCTTCACCATGGATACCAGACAGACAGTGGCTTAGTGAAGCTGAATACTAATCGTTCTGGTGGGAAGCGAAAAGAAAAAGGGGCATTTTCGCTCCGCGCTTAAAGACATTTTCACTACAGCTGAACCAAATACACATCACAATGTTAGAGACATGGTCTGTGGTGCTTCTCTACCTCCTTGGGGCTGTTGAGCCTTATCTGGTTGTTGCAGGCCAAGCATGTGTGCTGAGTAGGAGGAGATGGACCAGCTGATAAGAGGAGATTTGATTTATTTTCATCACGGCATGTTGCAGCGTAGCAAAGCTTCGATGTCAGCTCGGTACACCAACACAGCCTTTTGTGCTCAGCCCTCGGAGGCCTGTCAGTTTAACCTGACAATTTTAAAGAAGAATTAAATTCTGTATCGATTGAGAAATATGACAAATTTTCTTACAGTGTTTTTGCTTTTGCTGTTTTATATTGCTATTTCACTTGATTGAACTACTTTCAAGCTCGAGTTGCCTTGAAATTTAAAATGAATGCCTGGAGGCAGGATGGTCCTCTAGAGGCAGATATCAATAAATGCATTTCTGTGCCACTGTTCAATATGGAAAGCGTCACCTGTAATGAGACTGGGGAAGGATATGGTGGATAAAGTTTAACTCCGGTGGTTTAAGGTTGCTGCCTCTGGACTGCATATTAAGGCTTTATGGAAAAAGAAATGCGAGGTTGAGCTGTAGATAGATAGATCTCCAGGCTTTCCAAAGGCTGCTTTTTCACTTGTTTTCACTCAGAGAAGTGTTGTTTTTTTGGTTTGTTGAGCCATCCAAAAATTAAAAAGACACATAGCTCAAAGGATGAACCACTTTGTTATTAGCAGCCAGTTGCAAAACCCAAAACTTTAGCTTTAGCACCCATTTCTTTAGCTGAATCTACTTAAAATACCAAACATAGCACAGTTTGACAGGCATGAAATAGTATTTTTGAAAAAAAGCTTTCAAAGACCTATTAGTTGAAAACTTGTTATCTTGATATCTTGGCATGAGGAAAAAATCTTTAGTAGAACAACATCTGAAAGTCATGTCTTTAAGAAATAGAGAAAAAAACCAGGACAGGCCTGACAGAGGACCTGAGAGATGCATCTGCACAGATGAGGTCAGGAGAGTGGTGTAGCCAGTGAGTGTCTACAGCAGTCTGTAAAACACGGTGGAGGCTCTGTCAGTTTGTGACTGTGCTGTTGGAGAGCATGTCAAAACTGATGGATTTATGAATGCAGAACAGCACCATCGGGTGTCATTTTTCAACATGACACTGATCCCAAACGTACTGCCAATGCAGCAAAAGAATGAATGGAAATACATGTTGAGGCCAATCCATCAGTTATGGATTGGCCTCAACAGACTAACGAAGCAGTGTGAGAGCATGTTGACAGAGAACAGAACAAAAGGCAGAAACATCCAAAGAAGAGCTTTGAATGTCTGAAGAATACTTAAGGCAATTACAAGAAAGCTGCCTAAGAGAGTCCAGAGTTGTACAAACTCTTTTCGCCTTTTATATCGTATTGCCATATATGGTTGCATTTTTGAAACACTGATGATGTAGAAGTCTGGAAAACTAATGAATCAAATATTGACACATGACACTTGTTGCAGTTCTCCTCTTGTTGAGCTAAACCACTTTGCAACCATTTGGGGTTTTTTTTATTAAAACACTAAAACAGACAAATATGGACAGATGACAAATGCAGATCTGGCTCTGACAACCTAAAAAAAATCAAGAAAAAGAAGCATTAAGCTGTTTGTTCTTAAGACTAAAAACAACATGTAAACTAACTATTTATTTAACTTGATGCTTTCCTCCGTGTTCGCTGTTTCACCATACAACAGATTTTGATCTGAATGTGCATCAGTGAAAACAGTTATACACAAGAAATCGTGAATATGACCATTTATCAGTTAATAATTAACTGAGAATAATATTCCTAATCATGGGCAGCGCGGTGATGAGCACTGCTGGGTTCTTTCCGTGTACTCTCTTCCAGCTTCCTCCCACTCTCCATGCTTACCCTAACAAGGATAAGCGGAAGAGAATGGATGGATGGAATTTCTTTCGTTTTTGATGCCAGCATGTACATTTGTACTTGCTTGATTTTTATTTTTCTATTCAAAGAGGCTTATTGTAGGCCAGTCATTTCACTTCCCACATTCGTGGCGTTTCACATCATTCAGAGCTAAGTGTGTTATATTTCAATTGTTTCAATATGCAACCCTTTCCAGCTAACTGTGGAGATAAAACAAAGAGATTACAGTAAAATAGTCGACATTTTTCAACCGAGGGTTAATACTGTGTAATTTTTTCTGTAACTCTCTGGGCGTCTCTCCTCCTGTGTATAATTAGGGTTTGTAATTAGTGGAAAATCAAGTTTTAGGACATGCTTGTAAATGTCAGGGTTAATCTCTAATGGCTTTTTCTTCAGATCAGATCCTAACCCTAGCACAGTTACCAAACATTTAAGATGAGTCCTTACTGTAGCGCCATTCCTGCGACCCAACTAAAAAGATCTTAGTAGTTAATATTTGTGTCTAATTCAAATTAAATTGAACCTCCTATACTAAAAATGGCTTAATCTTCACTCTGCCATCAAATTTACTTGCTCCTGAACTACACCAATCATCGCTGTGACAGCAGCATGTATACAAAAGAGATACACAAGGACAAGCAGCTCAAGTCCTCCCAGCATTTGCTGTCCTAATTTGTTTTCTTTCTCCTCCCTCCGTTTCCGTCTGCCTTCACCTCCTGCTTTGCCCCAATATTCCCTTTCCTCCTCCTGCTTGCATTTTTCATCTTCTCTCTCGTTACCTGTGCACAATGTTCATACACTCGCTCTCTCTGTATTCGCTTTTCTTCCTGTGCAACTCCTCTGGGGCCTCATTTTCTCCCCAACTGTGTACTTTCATTTGTGCATCCACCCTCGTTGGCCTCCTGCTGCTGTTCTCTCAAAACTTCAACACACACACACCATCTTCTTGGTGTCTCCACCCCACCCCCTCTCACAGTCTCAGGCCATGAGGATTGTGCGGACAGTGGGTCAGGCGTTTGATGTGTGTCACCAGCTGACCCTGCAACAGAAAGACGACGAGCAGGAGGATGAGGAGGGGAAGGCGGAGGAGCTGCAGGCGGTGCCAGGTGACTCACACCGACAAACGCAAACACACAAATCTGCATCCGCAAAACCACTCCCTTCTCTCTCACGTCTTCCCGTTCTGCTTCTGTCACACAACACAACGCACACAGGCCTGCGACTCCTGTTTCTCTCGCTTTCTCTGTTATACAAGCTAAAACTCGGAGTGAGGCAGAATCAAACAGTGGCAGTTGAGCACACCTCTGTGTGAAAAGATGTCATTATCCTCCTCCATTTTTTTTTCAACTTGCCACGTTGAATGTTGAAGCTGCAAATTGGTTTTGGTTAGTTGTGCGAGCCCACTGATCAAAGCCCTTTTTTGTGTGGGCTGCTGCCAGCCGACACTGTTGCTGTCACTGCCTCTAGATATGTTGCGAACTTTAAAGCACAATTTATTTATTTTTTTATAAAGCATGACAATCCATCCTGTGCATCTGGTCTCTGCAGCAAAGAAGAGGTTTGCATTGTCAGAGGAGACAGACCTTGAAGCCACTACAGAGGAGAGCATTGAGTGCGTCTCATCATCAGACCCGGAGAAGAGTAAAAAGGACGAGGCTCTTGGTAATGATGGAAAGGTACTGTTGCCCTTCATCATTTCAGCATCGCTGTTATGAAACATGGAAACACAGAAATCCTGCAGGGAGATGATATAGGCACACTTACATTTTATTTATGGATGGATATGGCACATGGGTGGGTTTCCCATGATGCACTGACCGTTTCTCCTTCAGTCATCTCCTGTATTTATACACCAAGTTGCATTTAGTCCATTTAATTTTTAGTAATTAATTTTAAACTCTGGCTCTTTCCCAATGTGTGTCTTTTGCTGTCTTCCTCCTCTCATCCCCAACCGGTCATGGTAGATGCCCCCCTCCCTGAGTCTGGTTGTGCTGGGGGTTTCTTCCTGTTAAAATGAAGGTTTTGTCATGGACTGGCCGTGTAAAGCAGGCAAGATAGGACCCAAACGTAGACTCACAGAGGCAAAACTGAACTCAAAAACACAGCAGAAAATGCAAAACTAACTAAACTTAGAATATGCATGAGACTAAAGAGGCAGGTAGGCAGAGCACACGGCAGGGAATGAGGGAGAACATGACACTGAACAGAGGGAAGGCTTAAATACACAGGGAATGACGAGGGAACAGAAAACACATGGGAAACTCAGCTGAGACGAATTAGACACAACGAGACCAGGAAAGCAAAAACTAAACACACTGAACATGGAACGCACGTCTTTTACAATAAAACAGGAAACATGAGCTTGACAGAGGTGTGGAGGAAAGGCAGACAAGAGGTAGCGAGGGAACACGAGAGCGATATGACGAGCTGGAGAAACACGGATAAACATGATAAGCGGGGGGAACATAGAATAAAACACAAGGAGGGAAACCAGACACACAGTGGACAAAGACACAAGGGGGAATCTAATAATCAAGGAACTAAACAGGGAATATGAGAAAATATAAAACAGACTAAGACTACTATTGAACCTAAAACATAATACAAAATATCACTAAAACAAAAGAAACTCAAAATGCTGGGTCAAAGGGACCCAGAACCATGACAGGTTTTCCTTCACGCTCATAGACAGCTGAGGTGTTCTCTTTTCTCTTTTTATGGTCTCTGCCTTGCAGTGTAAAGCATCTTTAGGTGAGAGTTTAGGAGATGTATAAATAAAATTGAAATGACTATAATAAAGAACTATAAATGAGTCAGTTTTACTATTAATAAACAATTATTTTGTCTTGTAAGCATTTCATTAGGATTACTGTTAGAAAAATAACCAAGGGCAAGTTACCTATAGTAATCTACACTATACTACTATTATAATAATGCTATAATAATGTGGGTGGAGCTTTCTCAAATTTCTGAATATAGCCCAGGATGTTATAGGAAGTCATGTTTAGATATGACACATTTAAAACAGTATGTAGTATCATATTGTATTTGTAGGCAGTGTTTTTCACAGATCTTATACTCTTGAAGTCAGGTAACCACAAAATATGATCTTTAAATCAGAATGTGCAGAACAAAAAAGGGACTTTTTCTCCTATTTTGTACCTTAGTTTAGTTAAAATACGTCAAGCACGTTCCCATCCTTCAAGTTTCATTGTTAAAAATACCAACATATCTTTAATTTTTCACAGAGGTATACCTCTGGTTTTTGGCTCCATTGTCTATAGCTTTAAATGCCAATGAGCTGATTCAGGCCATGACATATTCTAGAAAACCGCTCTCCTGTTTTTTTCTGTAAAACCTTTTTTCATTGATACCAACGGGGCATTTTCATCTCTTGAAAAATCAAGCCAACTGCAGTTCCTCTTGGTGCCACTGGAGGCTACCTCCAAAGGGAGTGAGCCCCCGATCCTGCCATGTTGAAATAACAGCTTTACAGCATAAAAAAAACATGTTTACAGACTGGTACAGCGTGTTTTGTCCCTGGATAGTTTCCCCCTGAATAGAAAGTGTGAGTGTGGTAAAAAAAAAATAAAAAAATTGTGACTCATTCGCCTTGATTATTGATTTGGACTATTCCGATATTAATATTATGCCTTGCTGTGTGATAGCAACCATCCGATACGTTTGTGCTTCTGTTTTGGAGAATAAAAGTCTAATATTTCATTAGTCTATTACATAGCACTAATTAACAGATATGTGGGGGACACACATGTGTCCCAGCAGACTAAACCACAAACTGAGCCTCCAAACTAGATAGTTATACAAGCAAGGTATCTATTTACAGTTAAATATTTACGGTTAATTTAAAGCATGAAAGTAAATACAAGGGAATTATATGAAAGGAAGCAAATTTGACATCAGTATCTCAAAGACAAAAGTAAAAGCAGATATTTGTGTCTCTGCATTGCAGCCATACAGTTTATGAATATGGCTTACTACCCAAGGAAAGGTAAATGTACATTTTTAGCTGGTAAATTTGCACTGCACCCTCTCATATAAGGTAAAAGAAAAGAAAAAACAACTGGACAATGGCCAAAACGCCAACAAAATAAAGCTTCAAAATGCATCCAGTACCAAAGTGTGACGTCACTGTGGTTACATCCATGTTTTAGAAGAACTGGTCTGAGATATTTAGGAGTGAGCAGAAGCAACTTGTGCATGTTAACTATGGGTAGGAGTGGCTGTAACTCTGGTTTCCTCCAGAAATGTTGATTAGTTAATCGGCTATAAATTATCCTTAAGTTTGAATATGAATGCAAATTAACTGATGACCAGAGTCGACGCCACCTCAAGCCCAGTGTCCATCCACCCATTTGTTAATCCTGAATTAGGTTACCAAAATATATAGATGATGGATGGGATTTTAAAAAAAGTCAAAAATATTGTATTATTCAGTGCTTCCTGGAGTCCCACAGCTCACAGATGGGTAGTTTGCTAATTTTAAAGTTTGTCCTCATAAAAGCTCAAAAGAAGATCAGAAAACGGCTCAGAGCTCAGAGGGATGTGCGGTCTTGTAAGCAATCATGTCTTTAAGGGTTGCTTGTGAAGACGGGCTCTTCAATATTGATAGGATCATATGGTTTATTGATGAAATCACAGCCAGGATTTCTAAGTGCTGCTCTGCTCGTCCTGTGATGTCGGACAAGCCGCTCTCTGCTATCTGCCTGTCTGCTCATTTTCCCACCGAGTCTCTGAGGAACTGTCAGCTTTATTACTCACAAGAGAGAAAACCGGTGTTGTTCTGATGAGGTGTTAATTGGTTCGAATCGAACAGTTATTAAGTCTAATTGCACAATGACCCAAGAACAAGGGAATTTAAGCGTCATAGTTTTTGCGTTATTCATTTTCCTGCAGCATTTCATCAGGTCTCACGTGCAACCTGTCTCAGTCCTGTGTTTGTAATCTGAAGGTCAAGTGTCCTTCACAGTGAAGTGTTAATGACAATGGAGTCCAACATATTGATTTCCCATCTTTTTCTTGACAGATGAGACTTTCATGTCAACAATTCCTGCTGTAGCACTCCAGCATAATTGTGTGAGTCATTCACCCCAGCAGCAGCGGCCCATACAGTCAATACACATCTATTTATAGAAACCCTAATTAAAGCACTGCTTTCACATTTTTTTTATTCTTATTGGACTAAGGTCATTTCTTTACAGTATAATTATCATGCTTATGTTAAAAAAAATGCCAGTCTAAATATTAGACTTTGATTTATCACAGTGCCTCACACACTTCAAGATAATTCAATCTTCAGCTCTAAAATGTTGGTAAATTTCATGCCTGTCGTCAGGACCTCAAAGAAAAAATCAAACACCAAGTAGCTGTGCAGCTTCAGAAGAACAGCCAACACTACAGAATTCTCCATCAGCAGCAACTTCAACAGAATAGCAGCGTTTATTGATTTTTATTTGCTGTGAAATACAGTTCCCACTTTGATATTTTCTTCATTTATGCAACTTGGCGTGGTAGATATTGCATTGATCGCTTTCTCGCTCGCTCCAGGCTTGCTGCACTTCACTCTACCTGCCTGCACTTCAGCAGCATTGAGCAGTAAAAGTGGATTCACATTATACACACATTTTAAGAGATCATCACAAAATTCCTTGTAGACACCCTAAGCATCAAGCAGTGAGGATATCTAAGAAACCATCTGCGGATTTCTCCATTGGGATGAAAGCACACAGGCTCCTTGCTGTCAGTGCAACATCTCTTTGCATTTTCCTCCCTGAGGAGCTCAGACTGGCAAAGAGAGGCTTTCAAACCACTGCTGTAGACATGCTTTTACACATACAAACTTTCATATATTTTTTCTTTCTGCTATTAGTCACGTAGGATTGTGGGTTTTGCTGCCTTATACTTTGTTCTCTGTCTGTGGCCAAGCTCTGTTTCTTCCTGATGTCAGGGACTAATGCCGACTTCAGCCTACAACATATCAGCTTAACACAGGTTGGTTATTCGTGTCCGGAAAGAAACCAGAGTGTAAACTTGGGGCTGCACGATTAATCGTTAGAAAATCGCGATCTCGATTCATACTTATGTGCGATCTCATTTCCAAATGACAACGATTTTAAAAAAAAAAGAAAACAAAAAAAGACGACGACGATTGGACCGCATTTTGATTCGGGACGTACTCTGCATGAAAACAAGCGCTCACTCTTCCTGCTCAACAAATGACAAGGGCGGAGCCTTATACCACGTGATACAGAAAAAAAAAAAAAACAAGGAGCACAAGAGACCAGAATAAACCAAAACAGGCCAACACAAAACAAGACCATTCACGAGTCCACAGTAAAGTCCGGGGGCCGACAACACAAGAGCCGAAACAGTTCAGGGGGCCGACCCTGCACACAGCAACGGCGGCGACAGGCAAACAGTTCAGGAGGCCGACCGTGCACACGGCAACGGCGGCGACGGGCAAACAGTTCAGGAGGCCGACCGTACACACGGCAACGGTGGCGACGGGCAAACAGTTCCGGAGGCCGACCGTGCGTGCAGCAACGGCGGCGAGGAAGCAGGTCCGGGGGCTGACCGTGCGTGCAGCAACGGCGGCGCGAATGCAGTTCTGGAGGCCGACCGTGCACACGGCAACGGCGGGCAAACAGTTCCGGAGGCCGACCACGTGGAAGGCAGTGGCGGCCACCGAGCAGGTCCGGAGGACGGCCGCGATGCCAGCGGCGGCGACGAACACCTTCCGGAGGCAGTCCCCGAAGGCCATGACGCCATCTTAGAGGCCCGGAAAATGGCCGGCAGAGGCGAGGCGGAACGGGTCGAGCTGGCACCGACGGCGGCGTGGCAACCACAGGACCAGACGAGGCCGGACCAGACGAGGCCGGACCAGGCGAAGACGATGAAGACACGGAGGCCGGACCAGGCGAAGACGATGAAGACACGGAGGCCGGACCAGGAGAAGACGATGAAGACGGCGGTGATGCTGCAGAAGGTGATGTGGAGATGTGCTGGCTGGGTCCTCCAGGACCACCAGCAGATGTGAGGATGTGCTGGGTGGGCTCCACGGGCCCTCCAGCAGACGAGGCTTGAGGCTGGCTGGGTTCTCCTAAACCCCCAGCAGACGACACTTGAGGCTGGCTGGGTTCTCCTAAACCCCCAGCAGACGACGCTTGAGGCTGGCTGGGTTCTCCTAAACCCCCAGCAGGCGACGCTTGAGGCTGGCTGGGTTCTCCTAAACCCCCAGCAGGCGACGCTTGAGGCTGGCCGGGCTCCTCAGGCCCTCCAGCCGACGAGGCAGGACGCTGGCTGGGTTCACCTGAACCCCCAGCTAACATGACTTGAGACTGGACGGGCTCCTCAGGCCCTCCAGGGAAAGCAGTCTCTGAAGCAGCAGGTACGGAGACCTCTGCCAGTGTGGACACTGGCTGGGACTGAGCAGCACCGTGGCTAGACTCAGGCAGCAACAGTGGGATACAGTCCTCAGAGGGCTGGAAGTGTTCCCCAATACACTCAGCAGAGGACTGAGGCGGACGGGTGAACTCACTTGAGCTCTCAGGGGGTGCTGAGAGCCAAGACTGTTCAGGTGAGATCTCCGGTGAGGCTGCTGGTGCTGGTGTCTTGACCTCTAGGGGTCCAGAGTTGGCTGGTGACTGACACCCAGCCTCTGGGGAGGCCCTAGAGGGAGCAACTGTCTCTGAGATGGCCAGCTTAAATGAACCAGCAAAAGTTTGTGTGGAGTGTGTTCCCTGCTTGTAATGAGGCTGTGAGGATAAAGGCTGGGTAAATGAGTGGGCAGGCTGCTGAACTGGTGGTAACTGAGCTACAGGTAGCGAAGTAGTAACAGGTGGAGTGGCTGGCTGAACTGATAAGGCTGATGAATCTCTTGCCAACTGAGCTATTGACTGGGCTATGGACTGTAACATGGTGTCTACTGGGTCTGACTGTGACTGTGATGGAGGTGATGAGTGAGTGGCTGACTGAGTTAGCGACTGCTGGGAAGCTAACCGAGCTACCGGCTGGGCAGCTGACTCAACGAACACAGCCCCGGTATAAACAGTCATATGAACTGGTGAAACAGACAGAGCGTCTTTTCCACTCACCACAGCCGGCAGTTCTGAAGTCCTATTCTCCAGCTGTGGGGCGACGCGCCGACGGCGCGATCGTCGCTTCCTCCCGGGCAAAACCTCCGGCGGGCCGGGCAAAACCTCCGGCGGGCCGGGCAAAACCTCCGGCGGGCCGGGCAAAACCTCCGGCGGGCCGGGCAAAACCTCCGGCGTCCGGCTGGGTTGGGAAGCGATAGCGGCTGGTGGGTGTAGGTGAAGTTCGTGAAGGATGAAGTCTTGCGCGAGTGGGTGTAGTGAGTCCAATAGCCAGGGATAATCCGTGAGCAGCTGTTGCAGTCTGGCTTCCAGAACGTGGAGGAATGCTTCTCCCTCATGCTCTAGCCACAGGTTGATTATTTGTGAAGCGGAGTTCGTGATGAGGTCCCGAAGCTCCGTGGGTGGGGTGAATGCCGCTGGATCCATATCTGGCTGGTCCGTACTGTCACGGCGAGTGAGGTGAGCCGTGTGGAGGCAATGAAGGAGGATCCAAACGCAGGCAGTCGTGAAGGTGGTTTATTGAGCATGAAAGTAAATACAAACGGCAAAGGGAGCTATGACTAACTAGACTGGGAACAAACTAACTACAGAACACGAACATGAGCAGAAACACTTGGCGGTTGACAGCAGGGAAACACACAGATGACGCAGGGTGGAATACACAGACGGACCAGCAACTACAATGACGGCAGACATGACTTAAATACACAGAGAATCACACACAGGTGGTGGACACAGCTGGGAATAATCAACAAGACGAGACAAAGGTAAAACTGAACACACTCACATGACACGCAGACCATCACAATAAAACAGAAACAAGCAACCATCACACTAAGACACAAACTCGACATAGAGAGACAGACAGAAAATGGCACATGGAGCTAGACAAATACTAAGCAGACACAACTGAAGAACAAATCCTAAACACCACAGAAACATGAAACTCAAATAATAAACATCATCATAATCAACACTACCAGAGAACAAGAAAACAACCCCTGATGCAAACTAAAACCAAAACATAATAAAACTCAAACTACTGGGTCCGACGCACCCAGAACCGTGACCCTATGTCAACTTACCAGTGTGCCTCGTATAATGTGGCATAATGGATAAAAGCTAAAGCCAATTCATGGGCAGACCAATATTATCGGCTGATATCCGATGTTTAAGTCTGATGTCATTACCCGTTTTCGGGTCCAAACTCTGCTTCAGGTCCCAAAGTCAAACAAACACTGTATAAATTCTTTCATCTTTAATAAAATAATCAGTGTTGCTGCTTTACCAGGTGTAACAATTAAGTTTAAAATCCAGGCATCCATGAAAACAGAATTTATGAAGTTTAGTGGAGTTAGATGTTAGCAGGGCGTTAGCTCGCTAGTTTCCACCTAAACATAATATACTATTGTCTGACTGAGTGATTTCTGAAAAAATTTAAACGTACAGCTCTGCTATCACTTCCAACATAAATGAAGACAGGAAACTAAACAGCAGTGACGTTTGGAGGGTTACTGAAGTTGGGCTAGCTGGTATATAATGATGTGCTACGTGGTGGCTAGCTATGGCTAGCATAATATAAACACATTAGCACAGTGAAGCTGGAGGATGAACGCTAACTTTGTTTCCACTAAACGGTCCAATCTTCAGTCAGGAGAACAACTGAGATAATTCATCCACAATACAAGGTTAGTCGTCAATATATTGCTGCCTGGGCTGGGCTGTAGTTATCTGTCTGTGAAGGTTCTCAGTCATCCAGGTCATCGTTCAAAGATGGTTGTTTACAGTGGACATTGATAGCTTCTTTCACTCCTCTTTCAAAGGTTTTAAAAACACAACCGCTTTAATAACCGAAGAGTAGTTCCAGACAATTACACTGTTGTCTAACTATCTCTCTTCTATTAATGCATTAGTGTAATACAACCAAGGTATGTGGGATCCACTTGGACAGGCAACCAGGTAGCAAACTGGACATTGTCTAAAACATCATTGATAAGATAAGATAACCTTTATTAGTTCCACACGTGGGAAATTTGTTTTGTTACAGCAGAAAGTGGACAGTGCAAAGTTATATAGCAAAAATTAGTGAACACTGGAATAGAATAAGAATAAGATACTCTACACAACTGTAATTGAAGACAGTATATAGCATAAACAAAGCAAGCATAATGAAAGAGCTGTCCCCAACACACACGGGGGTGTTGAGGTGGCAGATTTTTAAATCACCAAATATTGTTTCGCTGTCGGTTTTAAAACTCCTACATCAGTCAGATTCTGACAGATTCAGTAATTTAAAAGCAATCTCACTTAAATGTGATGTATAACACTGCTGGATCATTTGTCCATGATTTTGTTAAAACCTACTGCTCTATTCCACGATCTCAGATAAGCATAACAGCGTTTACTTATTTCAGGAGTCCTCTTCACGCCCTTCAGGTTTTGTATATTCCAGCTTTGTCCCTTTGAGTGTTTTTCACGAGTCACTAATAAAAAATCACTTCCATAAAGGATAGAGCTGTGCAGCTTCAATCATAGCTCCTCCTGTGAGACTCATCTCTCCTCACTCCTCCATCCTCTGGGTGTATTTTAGGATTTGAGACATCCTTCATGAGGATATGCTGAGATGGATTTCCAGTTCACAGGTAGGAGGACAGAGGGAACTGAGAGAGGAATCAAAAGAGCTACTTTGGTTGCCGTTGTCCGATTGTATTCTTTTCTTGGGAAACGTTGATTTGATCCCGAGTGTGTGTGTACTCCTATATGTCTCTCGGTCAGGAAAAGCCAAAACAAGTCTATAATTGCCTACTCCTACAAAAATACTGTGTAGTCTGATCCCAGCATAGTGGTTGTCAAAGTTTGTAGATAGCAGTCTTTATGTGTGTAGTGAATGACTAGTGAAAGTACTTCAACTCAGCTTGTAGAAGTAGTGGAGCCTAAATGGCCATCATTTTATTATTCATTATAGGTATCTGATAACCCGTCTCTTCTGCTGAGCTCGCCCATCCTTGGAGCCTCTGTGCTGGCTCATGCTGCAGCAGGGGGATCCTGCTCTGCAGAGCACCAGGTCCACTTCCTTCAGAAACAACTGCAGCAGCAGGAACAACAAGCACTAGCAGCTTCAGCGCAGGTAATTTTCCCCTTCTGGAACCTCAAAGAAGATATTTTCACCTTTTAAGTTTGTGTGAGTCTCTTAATGGGAAAATGTGTTCATGGAAAATTTTACCGTAGTGCAAACTTCCACAACGGCAGTTTTGAGTATAGCAGCTGTTTATGTGTGTTTGCCTGTCTGTGGACAGATCTTGCCAGCGCGATGGTGTTGAAACCACGCGAGGTAGCGCCATTAAAACGTCACGGAAGTGCAGTTGAGATCGAAATGAAGCTTGCATTTAAAAAGGGGTGTGTTCCGACCCATAAGTGCTGAGTAAATGAAGCTAAAAATATCCCAAGTATTTTTAAAGCAGGTGATCTCATGCCACTGTGACGCTATCGCACAATTTTTTTCTTCTCTTCCTTTTTGTGATGAAACTCTCACTAACTGTATTGATGCACACAGGGTTTTTTTTTCTTTTTTGTGCACTGAATCATCAGCTGTGATTCATTTAATAAAAAATCACAAGCCTTGAAGAATTCACCTGCCTGTGTGCATACCAGCATCAGTTGTTTTAACCCTTTAAAGCCGAAACCCTGAAATAATTGGCAGAAAAATTGTAATTTGTTGAAAGTGGAGTGGTTATTGAACCTTCTGGACATTTTTTTAAAGGAAAAGATTTGCATTTATGAGTCTTCATTCTGGGTTATGTGGAGGTATATGTCTAAAATATGATCTGCTTGATGTTACGGGGTTAAAATATGCTCAATAATTAAATGTGCTTTACTTAATGTAACTGAGCAAAGGCTGTTTGACACAAAACTTCCTGATCACATAAAAAAATTATCAAAACCTCCCAGGAAACAGGACATGAGTATCTGTATTTATGATTATGAAATTCACAGAGCGCTTTCAGACACTAAACCTTTACATAAACTTTGAACAGTTTCAGGTAACACTTAATATTCCCAGGCAGTGGCATTTAAAAGTTGTATGTCTGTGTGTGTGTTTAGGTAAATGTTTTGCAGGAACAGCTGTCGGTGGAGTTGTGTGCTCGGACTGAAGCCCAGGCCAGAGTGCAGAGGCTGCTGCAGCAGAACACAGACCTGCTGCAGCACATTTCCCTGTTGGTCAAACAGATCCAGGAGCTGGAGCTCAAAGCTGCGGGCCAGTTAACATCCAGTGAGTGGCTAATACACTTTTGTAATTGACTTTCCACTCAGATCATTTTCTCCTTTAAAGTGTAGTGTAGATTTTTATTTGGCTGCCTTTAATCTTCCTGTTTACCTCCAATCTAATCTGTAATAAAAACGTTAAAATTTCTCCCTATTTTTCTTTACTTTTAATTAGTTTCTTTCTTTCCCATTGCGCTCATGTTCTTCTACTCCGTTTTCTCTCCTGCTTCTGGCACACAGTTAATTATACTATGACAGTCCTCTTAGAGGGTACCGCTCCCCGTTCTCCCGTTCCAGCACAGACGTCATCCCACTCTTTGTAATCTCAGCTTTGACCAGTCCCCTCTTCTTACATGATCTGCATCTCTGTTTATATGTGATAATGAAATATCTTTTGTTCTTTGCTTAATCCATTATAAATATGTCATATTTGATCTCTTCTCATTTCTGTTTTCCACAGTGGGTTCCCAGGACAGTCTTCTGGAGATCACATTTCGTGCAAAGCCTCCCGGCGTTCCTCATGAACCCCCCACCCCTTCGTCATCTACGGGCCTGTTAGCAGCTCAGTCCCAGCTTCAGATTAGCAATAGTGCCTGGGTCTCTGTCCTGCCCAGGTCTTGCTCTCCAGGCACCATGGGCGCTGACACCATCCCCTCGGGGCTTAGCAGCAGCGGAGTTAGGCTTGAGTGCTTCCGCTTTGCTTCCCGAGCGGCAGACAGCCAGGAACAGGGACAGGACACAGGGGAGACTCCCAGCGACGGGGCCCCCGATGAAAGCTCGCTGCTGGGGGAGCAGGTCCTGGGAGCCCTGGAGTTGCTTCGTTTCAGGGAATCTGGGATTGGATCAGAGTACGAATCAAACACAGATGAGAGCGATGACCGGGACAGCTGGGGCCAGGGGGAGGGAGCGGGGGCCGACGGAGGAGCCCGACTTTTAAATGTGCTGAATGCAGAAAGTCTGCCAGACTGCTTGGGAGATGAAATGGCTGTTTAGTGGTGCTGTGAAAGCTGCACTAGGCAACTTTGAATCTATGTAAAAGCCCAATGGGAAATAAGTAAAATTCAGAATCTGAAATTATCTGTATAACGTGACAGAAAACTGCATAATCTGCAGGAATAAATTGCTTGTCGCGCTCACTCACCGCTGTCCTGGCAAAAGTTTGACATTTTTTGCTCTTTTGATTTGCACAGCTTAAGAAAATGTCCGTCTGGTTCACTGGTAGCTCTGTGGATTGTTATTTCTTGCTATTATGTAGTTAATATGTCACACTTCTGCAACACAGAAAAATGTAATGTATTACTTTAGAATCCGTGACACCCAACTAGGGCAGTAATATGATAATAATAATAATAATAATAATAGCAGAAATGTCTTAGAATCATTGAGCATGCTGTTTGCAAATCATCCATATTTTTGTTAATCCTTGGTAACTGCTATATAATAAATTTAGACATAATGTCTAAAGCCATGCTAGCTGCTCTATGAGGGTGAGCTAAATGCTATGCTAATATGCACACAAATGCTGTGTCAAAAATTGCTGTACTTCCATAATTACACGTGATCATTTGAGTACATGTTCAGAGTGCACTATAAGTACCCAGCTGATGGACTCAAAAAGTTGAGTGTGGAAAACTACAGTTTACAGTTAAAGTCGTTAAGAATGGAAGGGACTAAGCAAAACACTGCCTGAAAAGTGGAGGTAACTGAGTAGTTTCTCATGCATAAACTGCACCAAACAATTGTGAGTGAAGACTAGTCTGATTTTTTCATGCTTGCTTGACACAGCATGTGAAACCAGTATAAAGTTCAAAATGAATTTTTTTTTCACTTTTTATTGTTTCCTAGACTTTCAAAACCTGTAGATTTTTTAAAAATGGATTTCATCTATCCGTTTTTGTTTATTTTCCATTAATTTTTAACTAAAAGATGTCAAAATGAGTCTCTTATTTCAAGTACTGTGGTTTAGTGAAAATGGAAATAGATTAATAGCCATTGGTAGCACGCTAGTAAAATTCTGATTCTTCTAGGTTTTAAAGAAAGTGTTGATCCGTCACGGTCCACACAGCTTTATCGCCACAGGCCAAATACAGAAAAGGTGCTCGCGTTACTGGGGCAGGTTTCACTGGCTTCCTGGACAGTTTGCGCCTCGAGGCATGTGTAGGCCTGCTGAGCGAGTGTTTTCCCCTCATGGTTGAGAGGTTTGCTGTTTAAGAATTTCATGGAAAATACTGTGTTTTTCATTTGCAGTTTGTGCACCAGAAACTGTTCATTAAACAAGATTTTTCTGACAGTGAAGTTGAAAAAGCCCCATTGTTCAGTATTGATTGCGTGGCGTTTTTTTTGTGTGCAAGCAGTGTGGGAAAAGCCTGCATCTTTATCCGGCGTTTCCCACACTGCGTCACAAATTTGGTAGAAACATTCGTGCTGATGCTAGCTAGCAAGCTGAAAGTGGCATTCTCTGACCTAAGCACTTATATTTGGCACTGTGTGATGTTTAAGTGCTAAACTGTCATCTTCCAATAGAATAATATGTGATTAGAGACTCAACGGATTGGTGTTCACAAAATTTGGCAGCTAGCATGACAGTTGCACTAAAATGCTAATCTGTGCACAACTTGCCATGTTCAAGCAGTTAAAATTCATGTTATGACAGTATGTACATAGTGTATTTCATGTGAGCATATGTTTAAATTCAGCCTGAGGCACAAGGGCAATTATTTAGTGTGTTATCATGTTCACAAATTTAACAAGTAGCTTTTAGCTATTATGTTAGCTAATAACTAGCTAAGTTTAACAAGTAGCTTTTAGCTATTATGTTAGCTAATAACTAGCTAAGTTAAACAGTTGAGGCTGGAATAATGTGACTTGTTTATTTGAAGCAGTTCATAAATTTGCCAATTTCTACAAGTTAATATTAATTTTTCAGATTACATTTTTATCAAATCAACACTACATACATGGAGTAACATTACGTACTGTAATCCTCAAAACTAAAATGTACCTTCTGCTTTTCGGCTTCAGTGCAGTGGGACATTTAGCACAGTGCAGCTTCATTCAAACCCTATTAGTCAGTACAAGTGCTGTGGTGTTGCAGGCTGTCTGAAAATCTCTGCTGTGTGTGTGTGTGTGTGTGTGTTTGATGATTGTTGTAATGTTTGGTTCCTCGCCTCTGAGAGCCACTCAAACGGCTTTTTACACTGTGGTTTGATGACATGTCCAGCATGGACACAGTCATTTTTGCTGTTTTTTCATTACCGTCAAGAAAGAAAAAAGTCTGTTTAAACATGTTGACATAGTTGGCTTTCTTGGGGAGGTTTGAGTGGGGACCTTGCTAACCCTCGCTGTGACACTCGTCTGTAATCTCATATAAGAAATGGGTTTAATAAGCAGCTATACCTCTGAAAGTATGACCTTTTTTTCTGTACATTGTACATAGTAAAGTCTGATTAACTTAGCTATTCTATATATATTCAGCATGATTTTGTTCATAATGGTCTTCGTTCTAATTATGTAGTTAAAGATGATTTTCTCATTTGATTATTCTGTGTGTCAGAGGTGCACATATCACCGGGCAGGTGCTGCTACAGTCTTGTCTATGCTGTTAAAAACTGTAGTCGCTCCATACTGTAGGGATAATTCATTAATGCCGTATTGCGGCAGTGATAACCTGCTGTGTCACTGTTGCAACACCCTTTAAAGAAATTGTTTTGAAAATGACCTCAAAGTACAAATTGCAAAAAATATGTGATCTAAAAGACTTCTGGATGCCTTCATATTCTTGCAGCCAGCTGCCGCACCGGCTCCATCACGCTGACTGTGAGCCAGCTCTTTAAATCACTGGATTGGGGATGTGTTTTTGAGTTCTTTCCAAAATCAGTTAATCTCGTCTTGGCCCTACTCCCTCCCCCATCCTCTCCTCACCTTCCTTTCCTCTCTTCCCTGAAGCTTATCACCCTGCACCGTCAGTCTCTTAACATTTCTCTTCAAGGTTATGTCTGTTCACAAGAAGTGTGCTGAAAATGAAAGTGCACTTACATCGATGTTTCTCCTCGTGGAATTAAATGCCCTTTCTCAAATGCCATCGGTTGTCATGTGTGTCCTCTTCGTTTGGTGAAACTTACAAATTGCTGAAATGTATCCAGGGTTGCTTCAAACCTAAATATGTCCCTAACATAATAATAAGCCGCATCAGTTTCTGGGCTGACCTTTTAGAAATGTTTTCCTCGTTAGTATTTCCAAATGCTTGAGAAAATGAGATGTGGTCCTTCGTGAGGCCGATGGCCCCCTATTATCGTTAGAGACACACCAGCTGTGGTCGTTAAACAGGGTCAGCTCCCATTAAGCACACTGCAGACAGAAGCAGCTTGATGTAAGCAGATAAGGTAGAAAATATGAATAACGTTAGCCATTACCCTCCCACATCTTGCCACGTTACCCTGCAGCTCCGGTAGTGCAGCTGCTGCTGACACAGATAGTGGGTGGCCTCCAGGATTTGGTCTCTACTTTCATTTGGTTGATTATACTGTAAAGAAAAAATGGTCTGCAGGCAGTGTTATTCTGTTCACACACACACCCCTTCTGAATCCTTTCAGTCCCTTTCTCTGAACTCTGCAGGTGAAATGGATTGAAAAGCAGTTTTACTTTGTGTGCAGTGTTGTATTTATCCTTTAGTTTTGGTCTTTTGAGACAGACTGGAATGAAAATATGAGCCCAGATTGAAGTATCTCAATAACACTGCCAACAAAGCTTTAACGCATTCAGTGAAATATCTGAGAGTTTCAAAAACTGAACGCCATAATTTGTTATAGGAATTCACGTTTCCTCGATATTGACAACTACTGATTGGTAATCCATCCAGGCTCTCACCCCATAATGGCTGAGATAGGCTTTCCACCCCTGTGACTCTGAATTTAGTAAGCAACAGAAAGTTTTGCAAGTTAGACTCACTTTTATTTTGTAGTTTGTGAGTTAAATGTTGCTGGATGGACTGCCACGAATTTCACTACATTTATGCTCCCCACAGGAAGAATACTGAGCAATAAAAATTCCTCCAGAGCATTCGTCCCTTGAGGTCACAGTCTACTTGTTTTTGGACTTGTAGTCAGACATTTGGGCCAGCTTTGTTGTACTTTAATCAGCCAACCAGAAGCAAGAGGTAGATCTGAGGGAGAACCAAAAGTTTTTACTTGCCAATCACAGGGTAGCCTCACCCTAATGCTGCTTTAGCATCTATTTACTGTGACTGTTTAGTATTAAATAGTGACGTCATTTTCTCACATTTATAAGAGAAAGGACGTTTTTTTGCACTTCTTTCAGAGTTCACCCTGTTGGATGTTATTAGGAATGTGAATTTAAGGCTTTTTTGCACTGGTTTCTCTTTTCAGCTCCAAAAGCATCTTTTGTGTACAGTTTTTGTTCCAGTGGCTGAAATGTATACATTACCTGCTTAATGTTTACAATTTGTTCTAGTACTCCAACCACATGCAGTGAATCTTTGCATTGCCACGTTTCTCTGTTGTGATGTGAAATAAGTGTATCAACGGAAAACAGTTGAGCTTTTAAAATGAGTTTTGAGCATGTTAGCATGTAGCTCAAAAACCTGCGATACCTTAGCTCATCACTAAGAACCAGAATCAGAAAAGATAATGTACAAATATTCCTCACCTGTTTTTTTCCAGTGCATCATTATTCGTTCCGATTAAATGCACCATTTGGGTGATATTTGTGCCCTCCTACAGATGTGAGTAGCTCCATGAGCCATCGCTGTGCGTCATGTATCCATGGATACCTGAGGCAGTCGGCAGTGTTTCCATCTTTTATTCCCTCTCTCACTCGCTTCCTGAAGAATAGCTCAAGCCCTGTGACCCCATCATGGTCAAGTTCCACACTGAAAGCCTGTCAAACAGAACAATGTGCTTTGACTCATGAAAGGAACACGTGAGATATACTTGATGGAGCTAGCAACTAGTTACTAAGATCATAACCCTGTGAGGGTTTTTTAGGGCCCGAGCACTAAAAGTGTGAAGGCCAAATTGTATCTGCTCCCCTTATTATCATTACTTGGTCAAATGAATCGCCTTTTTGAGGGTCTGAAGACACTTGAAAGCGCATGAAATTTTGCCCACATGTCAGGCTTGGTGAAAATTCACGTATGGAGAGGACGAAATGGCTCCACAGCGTCACCTATGAAAGTATGAACCAGCACACAGACTGAGCTATTTGAATGAAATTTCTTACAGAGGTCCAACAACCCACGATGTACGAAAGGTCAATGAGACCTATGATCCAAACATGACAGGAAGTCCACCATTTTTACTTTACTGTGCCATTTTGGAGATTTGCTGATGTTATACCTTTTCAAAATCCTTGGGATTTTATCAAATCAACTTCACATTTCAATCTAAACCAAAGACGCTAGTGAATATAAATTGCAAAGCTTTTGAGGTTTCACTGAAGCGTGTGTCCGCAGGATCATTTTGATCATTTGCCATGAAATTTTAATTTGCTATCTTTCACACATACACTATCCAGTCTGGATCAAACTTCTCTAGTGCATCATATTTCATACATGAGTTTTTGAGGCTTCTACGTCATCAGTGTGATTTTTCTTTCCCACCAAAAAACTGAAATAAATTGCATAGTACACTTTTAAGGAATATATTCCCCCCCAAAAAAGCCTGATTTAGGAAATCAGAATCAGAGAGACTTTACTAATCCCATAGGGAAATTGAGTTGTCATAGCAACTAATATACAGCAAACATCAAACACTCATATAAAATGAAGTCTAGAAACAAAGATATTGATAGATAAATATTAAAATAAACATATATATATATATATATATATATATATATATATATATATATATATATATATATATATATACACATATTTATACATATATATATATATATATATATATATACAAGGACAAGTATGTGTGAAAAGGGAAATATGATACAACTTAAAACGTATATGTGCATGTAAATATTTGATTCTTTTTTATTTTTTTTATTCGCCAGGAGGTTCACTAAACACTATTTTCAAAAAACATTTTCTAGCAATTATTTCATGATTCAGGCAATTGTTATAGTGCCACCTAGTGGTAACAGTAAAAGTTGTCTGGGACCAACAACCACGACATGTTAAAAGTGACTTATAAGTCAACTTTTTCTCGGTTATGATGCTCAGCTGAACATCTTGACCACATTTACATGCTGGAATCCACTGAGTCGCTGCTACTTCAGTACATTTATTTAAAAATTAAAAAAAAAAAGCTGGCACACTTTAACTCATGACTGCGTGATGCCATACATCATATGGTTTTGGTGCTTTCATCTCTTTGTATGTGATTGATACACTATTAGGATTGCCTTTCATGTGTTACAATTTAATGTTGCTTTAATGCTGTTTGAAGGCTCGCAGTGGCATGAAATGATAACTCCCCTCAAATGTGTTAAATTGAAAGTAACAAACCTGTTTTGAAAATGTAAGAAATTGAAAGTACAGATAGCTGTTTAAAAATGTATCGAGTAAAAAAAAATACTCAGGTAAAGTACAGAACACAAGAATGAGGCGATGTAATGAAATCTATACCATAGGAGCGTCTATTAAAAATCTCGCTCCACGTGGTGAGAAAGAAATGTTCAGTAAGAGATGAGGAAACAATGACGTCCAGCCAAAAACTAAAATTGGAGCTCGGATAGAGAGCGTTCACATCTCTAGCTTGTCAAAGGTAGAATAAAAGACCAAAATATATCTTATTTTAAGATATGTCAGCCTACCAGGCTAAATTACCCAAATTCTGAATATGTTTTAAGCAGTGCTGAATACAGGAACGATTCTGATTGTTCTGTTTTTGTGGTCTAGTTTTAATTATATTCTGTGCATAATAGTCACACAGTGATTTATGGAGTTAATTTGTTTGCTTGAGTTTTTCAACATAAGTGATGTTTTTATGCTGATGACTGCTTTGCACAGGCCAAATTAAGCTGCAAGAAATCCTAGTTAAAAATCAATATCAAAGTACTTTAGCTCAGCATAAAACCCCTAAATGATAGCATATGCTAAACATGAATGTAAACCCAGAGCTGGTTGGCTTTCCAAACATTTTTAAATAGGAGCTTTATGCCTGGCTGTTGCAACTGAAGATAAAACATGTAAAAAGCAATGCTAAACTTGCAATAGCTGAGCATAACGAATGCAACAGCAACAAAAGTTTATCTGGATGCTTCTGGGCTTTCATATGAAACTGTTAGCAAAGAAGGCCAATTTCTAATCCTTACCTGTAAGTACACACACGTGCGTGCACGCACACACACACACAGAGCATGGTCCATTTAAATGTAAGAGCAGTTTGAGGGGTTTTTTTTCCTACTCAAACATCACGTCTCCTTCAGTTCTAGTTTATCTTCACATGAAAATGACCACCAGCCTGTTTCTGTCAGCAGCTCTTGGTGAAAGCTGCCACTGCAGCTCTCAGCTGCCTCTATACACCATAATTGAAGCCATTTGTGGATCAGGTGGAATTCTGGGATTTTGGCCTCACCTCAAAATCCCAAAGCGTGTTATTTTCTCTCTTTCTTTTCTCGGGCCAGTAGGACTCTTACATCAGCCTTCGTTTCCGCTCGCTCTCTCTTTCCTTCTGCGTCTCTTCCTCTCCTCTCTCTCCTTTCCCCTCTCTTTGCTATTCCAGAAAGAAGTCCTTCAGAGGCAGAGGTCACAAACTTGTGGTCCTGAATGCATCGGCGCACAACAGATGTGGAATATTTCCCGAGAAAAACAGTTTGTTTTGAAGTTCAAAAGTAAGTCAAACGTATATTTTTTTCTTTTTTTTCTTTTTTTACATATGTGGCTATTAACTCAAATGTCCACGTAGACATTGAGGGAATTTAGTGTCAGCTTGCCTAAGTTTAGTGAGAGACAACATGAAGGAAGACATTCACTAATTAATCTTATGTTCAAGTAAAAGTAGCAACTGGCTGATACTCAGTAAGGAATCAGTTACTGTAAAGTTACTCACTGATTATAAAAACGCCTCTACTGGAATGAGGGCTCTCAGGGATTCACTTCAT